ACATTATTCAAATAAATGACTGAAAAATATTATGTAGTAGCAAAAAATGTGTTATTTTTCATTACTCTTAGTCTTGCATACAAAAAAAATTAGTAATCTTTAGCTGATGAGCAATCCTCAACATCAGATATGGAAAAACTTCCCGACTCTCAGATAATTTTTCCTGAATTTCTGTTATTCCGTTTTTTTAAACCTGTCCAACCAGCCATTCAAGCACATGAAAGTAGTCTCATAAAATCACTTAGCAAATTTATCCACATTTGTCCAGATTGTGGCTTCTTCGAATGGTGAACCACTTCAGTAATGCTTCTTCAACATCCTTGTGATCTGCTTTTCTCAACTTTTTTCTGCCTTCTAAATTTTTTTCATGAGCAGAAATTATTAATTGCCTATTTTTCCATATGTTACAAACTTCAGATTTGGATAGTTTATATTCCCTGAAAATATCAACAAAAAAAATGAAGAAAAAAATCAGTCGAAGACAGAAAAAAGTTCATTATATCCAACTTCCTCACTTTTTTGGTTCACTATATCCACAAAAAATAACATTATGCGCGTATAGCAAGGCACGGGACCGAACATTTGGTTCACTATATCCGAGAGTTCACTATAAACCGTGTTCACTATAGCGGGGTTTGACTGTATATATAGATTGGTTTTGGTATGATATATTTTAAGTTTCTATGCATGATAGTAAAATACTTGAAATACTTCTGAAAATAACAATGTTTCTGAAAATAACAATGTTCAGTAGCACATGAAAAAGATTGAAAGATGCACTTAAACATACACTAACCAGGCACTTGCCTGTCAACTAAAGAGTTTACTAGAATACATTATATAACATTTCAGTGCATGTAAGAAAATCAGTTTACAAAATGCTAATATACTATGTTAATCAGATATGAAAGAAATAAGGATGTTATGAATATAAATAATTTATAAATAAATGTTTAAACAAATATTTTTAAATGAATTGAACTTACGCTCAACTAGTAGGAGAGTACTTGTCACAAGGGTGGCAATTTCATTTTCAAGGACACACTCGTATCTGCCATGATCTTCCTTCTTTAGGCCTCTTATAGTTAAATTGCCACCCCGTATCAAAGCTCTTTCTCTCGGAAGTTTAGAGCCATCCACCTGCATGCACAAGATATATGTGAATTTATGACTTTTAAAATAAGATCATTAGAGATATAAACTAGTTTTCTTTTCAACCACCAGGATATAGTTTTAAATTTACCAGTTTTATAAATACCTAATATAAATTTATTAAAAGAGATTTATACTTAAAAGTACTTTAATGTAATTTAAAATCGTTAAGAAATTGTTCAAGTTACATAATTTTGAAAATTTTCAATCTAGTTAACATAGACGAATAAATTGATAAAACTTACTAAAAAATTTTTTTCATTCACAAACATTTCAAACACAATTATGTATTAACTCGTTTCGAATATACTTACAGTAACAAGTCTTGTTACTCAAATAATTAAGTAACTACTAAGGTCTAGGCACCAAAGGAAAGTGTTTTGAGTACTACATATTCTTTCAGTATTGCAATTTTTAATTGGTAAGTACTTTCGTTAAAAAAACTGAATATATTTGATCAATTTAAAAAAAAAAATTACAGTTTTATAAAATTTTTTAACTAAGAAGAGTTGAAAAAAATATTTTAACCCATGCCTCAAAAAAAGATGAATTCATGTTGATAAATTTAAAAAGTTTAAGCTTAAAGTTAAACTTTGCATAAAGTCTGTTTTCTTATATGAAAAAAAAATATTGTTAACAAATATACCTGTTTATAACCCTAGTAATTTTACACAAATACAAGGGAAGAATTTTTTTAAAAAAATAGTGAGCAATTATCAAAAAAACTAGTTAGCTAAAAACTTAATTAACAAAGTCATTCACTTTTAAACAATTTGTAACTATTTGATACATCTCTTAAATACGGAAATAAAATGGAAAAGACTAAAGACACACACACAAAAAAAAAAAGAAAAAAAAAGGGTTGAGAATGGTGCTGATGGTTCAGAAAATGCACACACTAACATTAACTTGATCAGATAAGTTTGACAGTTTAACACATAACAGTTAATGAAGAATAAAAAAAAACATTAAAAGATTTCTAAAATTTATACTTGCATATTATTTTAATGAATACAATTCTTAAACTAACCATGAACAGCTGCAAATACATTTATTTTTAATATTGATCATAAAAAAAAAATTATTATAAGATTTAAAATCATAGTTGAATAGACAATAAGTGTAATGAATTAAATTGCAACTATCATTGAGGTTCAAACTTTATTGATAAAAAAAAAATTAAACATAAGTAGACAAACTATAATTTAAGTTTCCAGAATGTGTATATGAAATAAAAATATCATTTGAGTACACTTACTCTTCGCCAAGTGATAGCTGGTTTAGGTTGACCGATGCCCTCACATGGTAATTTAATTTCACTGTCAACTGGTTTCTGGTATATTTCTTTAGGTTTCAGAGTATACATAGGCGGTTCTAAAATATATGTTTTAGATGACTAACAGAAATACAGTTGACTTATAGATAGTTAAAACAATATTGTAAAAAAATTTACAATAATACTGCAAATATAAATAGCATTTGAAGAATTAAATTGTCATATTTTAAAGAGAGAAAAAGATAACACATATACAAAGGAAAGTTTGTTACAATAGAAGGAATTTTTTAATTCTTAACTTTCTAGTGCTTTCACAAATACTAATACTTTTAAATATGTTTTTTTTTTTAAAAATTATAATACACTTTTTGTATTTTTCTGCTTTATAGACTTTCTCACCTTTATCTTATTTGTACACATTCTTATCCTTTGTTTTCCCCTCAATACACTTTACCCCTTAAATTTAAACAATGCATTTTGAATTGGAATGCTGGTAAAAATTATTACAAACTAAGTATGATAAAATTAGCCATTAAATAATATTTCAGAATGGATATTTAATAATAAGATATATTATGTTCTTGGAAAAACTGTGTCAAATATTTTAAAAACAAAGCACAAATTTATTTTTAAGAAATCAATAATCAAAAAGTAAATCTTTTCATTTTAATGTCATGTTATTATACTCTAACTTCCAGTTCTTCCTTCTCTTAATTATGCAAATTAGGTAGCCTTTTGAAAGCTTGAGGTCAATTATCGAGACACCAGGTGCGAATGTTGAGAAACGTGTGCTAATGATAGTTATCTTGACATAAAACAAAGTAGTTCCAGTCCGCAAATTTTGGGCTGATAATTGTAAGCTGTATCTTAAAATATTTAAGTGTGATTCATTATGCCATCAATAAATATTAAATTACTTTATCCTAATGCTGACATGCGCCAACACATAATGATACCATCATACTTAATTGTCCTACCCAAGTTCATGGGATAAAGTTCCTCATTTTTCCTGCTACATACAATATGTCGAAATCCAATGTGCTAAATTTGATTTCATTCACAAATAAGACATTATAGATACGTTTTGGATTTATTTATCCTTGATTTTGCTAAATAAAGCCTAAGGTTTCAATTTTTCATAAAAACAAAACACTTTCTACAGGCAGAGTGCCCATTTAATCCAGCTGCTCTGAGAATTTGCAAAAAAGTTTCAGGTGAGATTGAAGCAGAATATTTTTTTTTTTTAAATTCCAAAGAAACTCTTACAACACTGTGATGAGTTTTTTATAAATTTTTCACAAATTTTATAATTTTAATCTTTGATCACGTTGATTTAAATTCCTTCTTTCAAGCGTTTCATCATATACTGCACTGTGAAATGGGGTAAAATAAACTATTTGAGCAATATCCATTACTGATTTACCATTAATGATAACAAATAATCAACTTTCAAATGTTATTTGTTCTTTTATTATGACTATGAGCCATTTTTAAACGATAAAATAAAATATAATGGAGTAACAAGTAAGCAAACATTACAATCCAATTTTATGACCATAATTTTAATATCAAATTGCAAAACAGAAAGATAAATTAATAGGTAAATAATACTAATAAATGAAAAATAAGTAAATGAAAAATAAGTAAATAAAATTAAAGCAATTGACGATAATTTTAATAATGAATTTATCTGAAAACATGTAATTGTACAAATGACTTTTGTGAGGTGATTACTTTTCAGGGGTCTGTTTAGAAGAAATTTGGGTCCGTTAACGGACCCTTCACAAAATATCTTTTCATAAAAACGGACCGTTCACAAAGTATTTTAACGTAAAAATAGGCCCTTCACAAAATAATTTATCTTTTAATCGGACCCTTCACAAATTTGTTAATCTTCATTATTGTTTTGTAAATCGAATAAACCCTTCCCAGGAAGGAGGGGGGGGGGAGAAAGACAGATGTAAACGAACTAAATTTTGTCTTCGGCAGACGCTTCTTCCTTTATTTGTCCGAAATGAATATTCTGCGTTCAACAGTATAGACTAAATACCAAATATTTGTATGTTTCATCGCTAATTTAGTAGCTACAATTGCTGTTTATCTTTTAAAATTTAATTTTTTAATTATAATTTTATAGTGTTGAGCATAATCTTGTATGTCTTTACAGTTTAAAAACTCCCTGAAAAAGTTTTTTTGCAATAACGGACCCGATATTGCACAAATTCACAAAAGCAGGACCCTGGTTGAAAGAATGTGACTTTATTTTATATTCACAAATTAGGAGTAATTTTTTCACAATTTTACAAAAACAGACCTTTCACAAAATGTCTGGACAGACCCCTGCTTTTTGATTATTAATTTCGTAAAAATAAACTTTTACTTTGTTTTTAAAATATTACATGCCATTTTATTAAGAATAGATTACAGATCTTATTATTAAACACCCATTTTACATGTACAAACACTTTTGGGAGCCACTGTATATCATTCATGAAAATAAACAAATATTGACACCTTACCTCTTACAAGTACTTCCATAACATTGGATGTTCCGGCAGTGCCATGGATGTTGTAAGGTGTACATCTGTACCTGCCTTGATGCTCATGACTAACCCTTTGAAATAAAAGAGACCCATTGTTGAGAGTGACTACACCAGGAGTGGCATTCGGATCAAAAGGCCTTCTGTCCTTTGTCCATGTGATGAACTGGAAAGGTGGACTAGCTTGTACGTAACAACGAACCACTCCTGACAATCCAAGTGGAAGATACTGGATGGTTGGTGAATAAGTAATACGAGCTGGATCTATTTCAACAAAAAATAAGAATCAATCAATGATAAAATTTAAAATAAAGAAGAATTTAACAAAATATACCAAATGACTGATACATTTAGTTCGGAAAAATGATTCAAATTTAAATAAATCAGATGACTATTAAAAATGGCTCTTACATATATTTTCCCATTTTATAAAAGGGAAATATGATACATGCCATTGAAGCAATTTAAAATTATATTTTTGTCAAAAATTTACCTATTGGGACATTTATCACGCTCTTTTTAAATTTTTTTACCCCTTTCCCTTCCCTTCTTGCCACATGTTACAACATGTTACTAAATTAAATAAACATATAATAGCAGTTTTGAAACAAAGAATTGTGTTTTGAATCATATTTCAAATTTTACACAAATTTTATGTATTTGAATGGCATTTGTGAGCATAATTATAATATTATTGATTTGTTATGTATTAAGTAATACAGTCAACTGATAATAAGTTGTAATATGGCCAGTGGTTTAACAATTATTATGGTTTAATTTATTCATTTTCATTGCTAGGCACTTCATTTCAACTCCAATTTTATGGCACATCACTTGAATTGCTTTTAAAAATCTATTCAGAATTAACATCTTGAGGATGAAGATAATTTATTTCAGGTGGCTTCTTCATTAAAGTAGTTTCTTTATTGTTTAAAGGACACTTTTGAGATCCTGTCAAAGTTATTTTAATCCATCAATAATTTTTAGCTTCATTTCTCTCTTCTTCTCTGCTGAATCAGATAACTTGTCATTATCTGATTCATCTTTTATGCTCTCACTTTGTATAGCACCATTGAATTCTGTAGTTTGTGATTCTACAATAGTTATTGGCTGATTCATGCCACTTAAAATCTGTTGACAAAACTTGGCATACTCAGATGCTGAAGCATCAGAGCTAGGATAGCAAGGAACAGCACCCTTTTCATTTTCATAATATTTTAATATTGAGGAAGATAAACTAGTTCAATTGTTTTTGACATAACAACAGTACCTGTTAATCGACCCTCTTCAGTTTATGAAGTTGAATGTCACTTTTCTCAACTTGATGTTCAGTAATTTTTCCACTTATATAAACAACTGTGGCATTTTTGTCAATGGGCTTTTGAGAGAAACGCTAGTGCTTGTTAGCCTCTTGTATCACATATTTGACTTCTGTGCAAGGACTTGGAGGAGCAGGTGCTTCTGACCCTTCTTCATGTATAGACGTATCCTCAACGTATGAAGAATCTTTGTCATCTGGGGTATTAGTGTCTCCTTTTCTATATGTTGAAAAAGTTGCCCCTTTTGTCAAGAGATAATAGAATGAAATAATTCTCACTACTTTCATAATTGGTATCTGGAATAAAAGGTTCATGACTGGGAGTTATAACAGTAGGATTATTTTGAGGATTCCCCTGTATCAGCATCTTCAAAATCAAATTTTGCACTAGTTTTTTGTTGTTGTTAATTTTGCATTAGAAAAAAGGCACTAGTTGTTCTAGATTTCGCTTTTATAGACCATGGAATACCTTGATCATAGACATGGCCAAGGGCGCCGGCAGCGGGGGTGCACTTGCACCCCCCTGGCTTTTTTTAAACAATTAAAGAGGTACGGAAAAACAATTTTGTTATAAAATTTTTTTATTAAAAATATTTTTATTCAAAAACAAATAAGTAATTGTTGATACATAACAATTAAAAAGATTTTTAATCAAACAAGAATTGCAATAGTCTTGTTTGCTGTCCAAATCTGTTTATAACTTTTTCAATGAATTCTGAGTCATCTTTGATTCTTTTCTTATGCACACTGAGCATGTTCAAACTTGGCAGATATCTAAGCTATATTTTTAAATTTCAATTAATAAAATATAAATAATATTATATTTTCTATTAGTTATTCAGTTTAACAAAGGTGTATAACACAAACTGACTTCTTACAACAGTAAAACTTCATCAACACAATAAATATCAATGTTAAGCGTGCACAAACACGTTAGTATACGAAACTACTGTTTGTAGTTATTTGTGTTTTAAAGTCAGTAGCTATGCCAGCGCCATCAATACAGTTTTTCGTGTCAAAATTTTCTAGTACAAGAAATTCGTACTTTTTTTTTTTAAATATCTTGTTAACAATGAGGAAATATATCTTGAAAAAAACTAACAGATGAAAGTATATGTAATAACAAAACAAAATGTAATAACAGAATATTAAAAAAAAAAAATTGGGAGTTAGATGGTTGCACCCCCTTTTATATTATTCTACCGGCGCCCTTGGACATGGCTACTATCTGCTGACATTGAGTCGCTTTGTCTATCAGTCTTTTTAAAAATTGAATATAAACCTCCCAAATCACCCAGATTGTTGAATTATTGAAACTATGTGTTCATGCAAACCATGAGAAACATCTTGGCCATTAATTTCTAACAAGAAGCCACCCTTCTTGAGTCCTGCTTAATCTGCAACCCCTCCTTTTTTTGCATCTTCTAAATATTGGGTAGGCTATACATCCTTGGATTCTCTTTCCATTGAAAGACTTGAAGCTTTAGCTCCCCTACGAAGTTCTAGGCTAATTGAAATGTTTTCCACATTCTAGAAATGGTACTGACATGTTTACCACACATTTCTCTTCTTCCCTCAAATTGAGGAAAAACAGGAGACTGCAAAGTATCAAACATTCGAGGAGCTATTACTTGAACACACGATGAAAGGAAAAGTTCAACCTGACCACCATCTATTCACCCTCAAATAAGGTCCTCTTCTGTCTCACTAATAACCTCCACTGTCCCACCTGTAACTAGCTGCAGATAACCAGGGGTTAAAGAACTATACTATAGTCTTCTCTACACACACAATTAGTCCCAGGAAGAAAATAACTACAAGCATCATTATAGTAGTCTAGACCAGATTCATATCTCGCACCACTATTATTAGTGCATACACATGAAGAGTCACTAGTTATGCTTTTTTCTGTGATTACACTACCAGAAGCAGTATCCTCACTGTCTTCTCCACTAAACTGTGTGCAAGTTGATGAAATAGTAGAAGCATTACATATGCATGAAATAGAAGAAATAAGAATAATACAAGGTTATAGAGGCTTTCAATCTGCTGACTTTAACTGTTTTTATTTAAATCAAAATTTAAGTTTTCACACTTCTTGTTGCCCTTTCCCTCCTCCTCGTCACAAACTATCACAACTTCATGAACCTCAACTCTCCATTTTAAGTGTGACATCATTTACCGACGGCCCCTTAATGATCGAATTGTAAGCATCATGAAACTTAAATGAAATTGTATAGAGTTTAAAAAGAAATACCAAACTTAAAAGTGAACTTAGCTGTGTAAATTACATGATGGGTTCAGGATTTGAGCTTGTTGCTTTAATTTCACATATCAATTTCTACCTACATCAATTGTTGCTAACATTTTCCTTAAATGCTTTAACTCACACTTTATGGGTAAATCTGCACAAAATTTTCCTATCTAGCATTATTTCCTTATAGAATAACATCAAGAAAAACAGTTTTGCTAATGTCCTCACATAAGATACCAATAAAACAGTACTCAGCAATGAAAGTTTTGTATTAAATTTTCCAAAGTAATTGGCATCTAAAAGGTTAACTAAATCCTTTAAGATACAAGAGTTGAAAGTTATCTATTTTGTTGTGACTTACATTCTACACTTAAAAATGCTGATGCTGTATCTGGTGTGCCAATGCCATTTGTGACTTCACAGGTAAATTTTCCTGAATCTTCAGCTGATGTGGGACTAATAAAAAGAGTACCATCACGCCTTACAACTGTCCTCGTCTCCAACCAAGATAACTGGCTAATTTCTACTCCGTTGTGAAACCAACGGTGGGTAACATTTGTAGGGAGAGCTTTGGCTTCACATATGAATTCAGCTTTATCCCCTTCGAGTTTAGTAACATTTCTAGGAGGAACAACAATGGAAGCAGGACCTAAAAAAATAATCAAAAAATTTGGAAATGGTGGAATACAAGCATTTAATTTAGATAATAGAAATGAAAATATATGTAAAAAGTATAAAAAGGTTTACTTTTAAAACAGAGACTGATAAAAGCTGTAAAATTTCAGTAACCAGGGAAAAATTTTAGGAGTCAGATACTAGAATTATCGTATTTTATTGCATTTGCTACCAAATGAAAATCTATCCTCACACAGATATACTTGATCATTTTTAGTGCTATGGTTCATATGTGTGTCTTTTTGTACAAAAGAATTGAATATTCGATTAAAAAATCAAATTCAGCAAACATTTTAATAAAATAAATTTGTTAAATTTGTAATTATTAAAATTTATGCAAGATATGAGCATTTAAAGTAGTTCTTTCACATTCTGCGGGAAACATTTAAAAAAAAATATTATCATAGTTTTGTAGGGAATTGTAATTAGTAACTAATAAAAAAAATTTGATTTAAAAACCTTTAAAATTTTAGGAAGGTTTTAGCAATTTTCTAAGTAGATTTAGAACTTTTTTAAAGAAAGCTCTGAATGATAAGGGATTTTCCACAAATTTTCTTTTCTACTAGTAATACACCAACAGTTAAAAAAACAACGGGCAAAATTGGAAGAATATTTCTCCTCAATACACTATTTCCCTATCTAATAACATGGAAAAACCGGTTTTGCTTGTGGAGAAGACTGCAGATTAAAATATGACTTTTCACGTGCAGAACCGTCAATGGGTTAAACAAGATTTATTAAAAATGACACCAGGATAATTGATCATTTCCATAAAAATATGTTTTCTTTCCCTAAAGCATTATATTTTGGTGTGCAGACAGTTATTGTAAGGTATTGCCACTTGTTTTATGGTACAAAATTAAATTTGTAGAATACCCCTTCAGAGATTTTTTAAGTAATTTACAAAATCCATTTAGAAAACTGCTTGAAACTTTTGAAATTTTCAAGATATTTAAATCGACTGTTTTTCATTTGTTACAGAATATAATTCACTACAAAATTAGAGCAAAAATTTTTTTTGTTATATTTCCCATGCATGTGTAGTATGAAAGAATTATGCAGATATCTTTTACAATTTCTAACAATTTTTTTTTTAAATTTTAAAATGATAATTTTGTTATTAATTAAAAATTACTTAAAAAAAATTTTGGATAATTTTATTTAATACTTTTAAAGTTCTAGCAAAAAAGTAAAAAGAATAGTTTTTAACATATCAATAATTTAAGCTAGGTTTAAAAAATGCTATGAAATTATAACATATTGTAACCAAAGCAATAAAAACAAGTTTATTGTTATAATTTGTGTCCAAAAACACTTTTTTCATTTGTAATTTACTACTGGTCCCTCAAACATCTTTAAGCTTTAAACTTTAATAATAACTATGAGAAATCACATGACTTAAAATGCCTAATAATTCTCAAAGAATTCAATAATCCTCAAATTGCGAAATTAAAAAGAAAAAATTTGTAGGGTAGTATATAGATATACACACATTAAGAACAGTCAAGCAACCCCGGAAAAAGTATTTTAATCATTTTTAAAACTATAAAAACCAACACAAGCTCACAATTAGATGAGCATGTAAATATAATTTATCCATAACAAAAGATTTAAGCAAATGTGGTAATATATTAATGAGTAAATTCAAACATTACATCAGTTTTCATAAAATATTAAGCTGCTCAAAGCTTTGTACAGCATAGTAGAATGAACAAATTAATATTTTTTACACAAGAAATAAAATTTGGAACACTATAGCATATTGTTAATTAATCTGCTTCATCATCTACACACTTAAATAATATACAAAACTTAACATTTTACAAACAGAGACTTAAGTATAGAATTATAAAATTATCTTATCTACTTCATTTATATGAAATTTAGATTAATAACTAAATAGATGCATTGATTATCTATATTAGCATTTTTGTATTAAAAGTATTATTCTTACAATTATATTTTATTTGAAAAATTATTAATAAAATAATATTAAAAATTGAAGTAAATGTAATTTTTTTAAAAAAAAATCCAAGAAAAGTTAAATAATTAAAAAAGCAATTAAATTAGATTAATGAAGAATTAAGATTAATAAAAATAATAATATTAAATGGTAATAAAATGAAATAATGCTTGAGCTTTTTCTTCTGTCAAAATTTTATTTTTAATATAATTCAAAAAATAATTTTTTATTGAAAATAAAAACAATATATAGAAATTTCCAAAAAATAACACAATATAAATTTACTTTTAAAATTTTCTCTGTAATTCTTTTAAAAAAATCAAGTTAATTTCATTTCTCTCAACACATTTTTTTAGTTTTGAAAATAGCAATCTATAATAATAAAAAGAATCCTTTGTCTGACAGTAGTACTCTGAAAGTTTGTCAAAGTGCCTACATCTCTTATAATTCCAAAACCATTTATAAATTCCTGAAAAAAATAATTTTTATAATACAATATTTTATATTTAAATTAAATTAGATTTCTTAAAACTTATTTGTAAGCACACTCTTTTCTTAAATATGATTTTTTTTTAATTCAGAGTATGAATTTTCAAAAAACACAATAGCTTTTATAAGAAAATATTTTACTATTTAAATAAATTTAGATTTCTTAAAACTTATTTGTGAGGTACGCTTTGTATAAATGTGTTGTTGTTGTATTTTTAATCCACAAAATATATTCTGAAAATATACAATAATTTTTATAATACAATATTTTATATTTAAATGAACTCATTTCTTAAAACTTATCTGTGAGCACACACTTAGTAATATTTTTTTTTATTCATAATATTAATTCTCTAAACAAAAGCAAAACACAATAGCTTTTATAATACAAGATATTATATTTAAATGAATTTAGATTTCATAAAACTTATTTGTATAAATAAGTTCACTCTTTATATAAATATGTTCTTTTTTTTAATTCATGATTATAATATTTAGACACTTTAAAAGTTGTCTAATTTTATAATTATTGCTAGTAGCTAAACAAAATATTTGCAACATAAAAGTAGAAAAATATATTTACCTGCAACTATGACTTTTGATGTTGATGTCACAGTCCCCTCTCTGTTCCGGGCCATGCACATATAATCACCAATGTCTGTTTGCCGCAAATTATTAATTTTCAATTCAGTAGGAAGTATTTGGACTGTCCTGCTTTCTTCTAATGGTGAATTATCCTAGAATATTTAAACACATTAATTATGTATGAAAATTAAAGTGCAATCTTAATGAAGTTTTAAAGAATAAAAAAATTCAGCAAAACCAGGTGAACAAAAAACAATTTGAGAAACAACTAACCATTCTAATGAAGTTTTTAAGTCTAATATAGATTCAGCAAAACCAGGTGAACTAAAAACAATTTTAGAAACATTTAGCAATCCTAATGAAATTTTAAAGTGTAAAATAGATTCAACAAAACTGGGTGAATTAAAAACAATTGTAAAAACAGCTAACAATCCCAATGAAGATTTAAAGTATAATATAGATTCAGCAAAACCGGGTAAATTAAAAACAATTGTAGAAACAACTAGCAGTCCCTAAAGCTAAGTAGTCAGACACTTCTAACGAAACAAATTTTACTATGGTTTTTGACTTGTATAGATCTGTTTTTGGACTCATTGCATCAACATAAAAAAATAATTTAAGAAAAAAAATTTTTTTCAAAAAAAAAAAAAAAAAAAAAAAAAAAAAAAAAAAAAAAAAAANAATTTAAAAAAAAAAAATTTTTTTAAAAAAAAAAAAAAAAAAAGAAACAGTAGAATCTTTAAATTTAAATTTACCACTTTTTCGCTTTAAGAAACTATGTACCATATATTAACAAAAAGAAAATATATGTAGAAAGGCTATCTTTTATAGGTACACAAAATTTTGTGCTGTATAAAAAGGACAACCAGGTGCCAGTGAAAAGTTGCCAAAAAATGATGACTTCTGCCAACTTTTCTTAAAAATTTTTTTAAACACATCTAAAAATTTAATAAAATAAAAATAATTAAAAAAGATTTAAAAGAAATAGTTAAATTTCCTTGCACTCAGATAACTGAAAAAATATTACTTTAAATTATATTTTAAACTACTTCAGAGCTTAAAAATAATGGTGGTCTGTTTATCTTACACCACTAAAATTTAACTTGGATCAACCAAAATAAATTACTAGTGCTCCCTGGGACCAGTCAGTGATGTAAAAAGAGGGCATGCTGTTTTGGTATATAGATTTTGTTTTAGTTTGAGTTTTCTCACAAAATAGCATATTTCAATATACCTAATTGTAAACATTACTTATTCTCTATTGTAATTTTTCATTTAAATTTATTTTACTTTATTTTATTGAAAAAAAACAAATAAATATTTGTCAGACAAGTAAAATTGTGCACAGACTAGAAATATCCTTTCAGAAATATTTTTTTGATCTTAGGACCAGTTCATAATTTCTAACTCTGTTTAATATAAGAGTTGCATCAATAAATCTTAAAATTTTAGCAATATGCTTTACATCAATAAGTTAGGTAAGGAAAATGCTGTACACATAAATAAAATTCTTTATTAAAACAATGAAGAGAAAAGCAAAAACTACCTACAGTAGACAACTATGTAAATTAGTAAAGTTTATAAAACCATTTAAGAATAAATCATTAATTCAAATTGATATTTAGATAGTTTCCGATTGTAAACATATATATTGAGTGGGAAAAATAAAACATGCTCAAGATAATTTTTCCGCATATGATCTTTGCTTAACTTTTTACAGGAAATTGCTGCAATTACTTCCTGACCTTTATTTTTAAATTGGAGCGCTCCAAAAACTAAATTAGGCCTTAACAATGTCTGGTTTAATATTTTTAAAATATGTTTCTCAAAAAATAATTAATAATTTATTACAATAAAAGTTTGAACCTACCTACAGTGGAGCATCGTTTATACGACGATCACTTATACGACGTTTTAGTGTGGTCCCAAATCATTCCTATTCATTTTAATGTAAAAATATGTCGTTTATACGACGCACAGAATCGGTTATACGTCGGTTTTAAGATTTTGTTCATGTTTATTTAATTTTTTATTTTTTCTTGTGTGTTTTAAAAAAGGGTGGAATTTGCCAACATGAAAGATACAGAAAAGGGTGCCAACAAGAATGCTTGGATGACGATCGTAATTTTTACTAGATGACTGAAAAAACTAAACAATGTTATGAAGAGGCAAAAACGAAAAATTTTGCTATTCATCGACTAATGCCCAGCCCACCCATCGATACTAATTATTTTGGAAAATGTAAAAGCTCTCTTTTTTCCTGCAAATTGCGCAAGTGCGCTTCAGCCATTAGATTTGGCCGTGATTAGAAATCTAAAATTGCATAATAGAAAGCAGTAAGTTCAACTCGCTATTCAAAGCACTGTAGAGACTAATAGCAAGAAAATATAATTAAAGGTAACATGCATTCAAATTGCTCACTGCAATTTTTCTTCTTTGGTTATTTGTTTGTTTTGCTTTGTCTAATTTAGAAATGTATGTAAATCAACACGTTAAACATTAAAATTAACTGAAAACAGAGTTAGTTTCAGTTTTAGAAGTAAAAATCGATTATACGACGTTATCGTTTATACGACGTTTTTCGGTGGTCCCTTCGGCGTCGTATAAACGATGCTCCACTGTATTAAAATGTAATAAAGAAAGGTATTGTTTTAATTAAAAATATTTTTGTTTACACTATCTAACAATGCATTTTAACTAAGAACTTTTGTTTTTATGCTAATTAACAAGCGTTCATTACATTAGAGATGTCAACAAATATCCAATGGAAAAAAAAATTCTTAAGCGAAATCTGGAGTTTGTTATTTCAAACTTTAATTGACCAAAAATTTAAGATTAATTGCGTTGCCTTAAGACGTACAAAATAAACTCATTATTTTAAAACAATGAGTAAAATAATTTTATTTTCATATGATCTGTTCCCACTGAAAAACATTTCACTTCCTTTAAAATTACTTTTTACCGCGGATTTTACCGCTAAAGCGCTTTTTACCGCTAAAGCGCTTTCGGATACCTATTTTTGTCAGTACTAAGTTTTTGTATTTCAAATTCAAAATCTATTTAAGGGATTATTCTTACTAATGCAATTATTTTACGCTTGTTTCAAATTTGCACATGCGTGAGTTATTATTTCGTGTCTTTTTTACCTTTAGAAATATTCAATACAATGAAAAAATGTTCATTCAAACAAAAGTTTCTAAATGTAGTTCATGCACTTCCGAACACCACAGAGAAAAATGGAGAACCTGATTTGTGAGTAAATTCGCGATCGCGACACTTGATTACATCCTCTAGCGGGGAGGATATTTTCAGGCTACTATTTATTAAGATTTCATTTAGTTCTATCAGAATTATAGATAAAGTAGGGCATCTTTTTTAGAATCAATTTAAGAAGCAATATTTCCCTAAGGAAAAGGCAGAAGAACTTAAAAAAACTACCCAGAACATTGGTAAATCATTCAAAAACAGACCGTGTCCAATATTTGAAGAACAATTTCTCAATAATTTTTTCCTTTTTATTAACAACAAACTTGCAACTGATAACTTCCAATTTCGTGACTGAATACTGTTACAGATGTTGGTATGACGGTAAAATACATTTTTTTGTCTACAATAAATTAGAGTGAAGTAAACATAGCTTACTTCATTCCAATGAATAAATCTAATTTCAGAACATACAAAATTGTAATAGTTATAGAAAAGTATATATTTCGGAATCTATATAATTCGGAAAACAACAATAAAGCATAATCCGAATCACTTGAAATAGTACCATTTGTGTTGATTATTAATAAATTTTTATCGTTTTCCTGGTAAGTATTTTTTTAATTTTGAATGATTAATTTCAACTAGAATTCAGCTATTATGTTAAGTTACATATTGAAATTCATATCAAGATCTTACAATCATAACATTTTATTATGTGGTATATCCTCTTAAAGTAATGAAGGGATAATCTGTGTATATATTATTTGAGAATAAAATTTCTAAACGAAGAACATTTCATTTTGAATTTCTTCGAATTTATAAAGCAGTGTTATAATTTTTATTTTCTTGCAAATAATTTTTTTTTCTAATTTGATGACAGTTCTCTAGAGCATGGTTTTCTACGTCTGATTAAGGCTTTAAGACTAAAAAAAAAAACATGAGATTTTTTTTTATTTTAGTAATAGGAATTTTTAGAATCGTTTTCTTTTTTTTAATCCTAAGCATTCCTCATTTTATGTTTTTTAGTTTATAAATAATGATCTTTTTTAAACTTTAAATTTTTTTGATACAAATGGTTGTCAAAAAACTTTTTTTTGCAAAGTTAAATGTTATAACATGATTTGTTTCTGTATACTTTTCGCATATTTTAATGTTTGAAGTAATATGATTCAGAAAAGTACGGAAAATAAAGTTTAAATAGACCTTTCATGTTAGATCATTAAATTTAATAGAGCGATTTCGCAAGCATTAGGTTTTAACTCTAATCAGAGACAAAATACATATTTTTTTCGGTTTATTTACAAATATTTTTCAGATGTGTTTTGGATGTTCCTTCTCTAAAAAAAGTGATTCCATTTTGTATTCTCTTGCATAAGAAAGAATATCAAACATTATTATTTTTAAATTTAATAAGCCAAAATAAAGGAGAAACGTTACCATGCTACACTGAAGAAATCTCCATTGCAACTGATGATCGCGTTGTTCTGCTAGCAGTCATTCGTCTCAAGAACGTCCCCTACAGGTCGTTGAGTTCGCGAATCGCGGGAAAATATGTGCCACTAATCAGGTTCTCATTTCCCTCGACGACGATCTGAATTGAATCAACCGCATTTTTAATATATTTATATATAACCGCATTTTTTAAAGTAAGAATGGTCCTTTAATTGATGAAAAATATTCATCCGCTAAAAACTCCCAATCAAGTTCTCATTCGCCTGTGAAAAATTCACACACACTGAGAATAGCTCTTTAAAAAACCTTAACAGTTTTTAAATGATAACATTAAAAATAAAATAATATAAAATAAAACTCTTACCTTATACCATATAAGATTTGGTGGAGGTGTCCCTTCTGCTTCACAAGGCAATGATACCGACTCTCCAACTTTCACGTACACAACATCGGGGGGCTTCGTTTTAAAATGGGGTGGAGCTGAAAATATTAACACAATTTTTTGATAACTTATTCAAGCATAGAGATGTCACTCATAGAGAGTTGGTGGATATTTTAATTATGTCAGATATCTTAATTATGTTTCAATGATATCGAATGATAATAAAAGCAAATCAATCTCTTATCTTTCTGTTTACCAGTATTATTAAATTATGTACAGTGCGTAAAAAATACGGTATACCCTGAATAACTTTTGATCTAATGAATAGATCTTCACGTTTTAGGACTCGATGGCTTGAGGGGGTGACCTCAAATAGATTGACGATAATTTAAGTTATGAAATCAGACACAAATACGTACTTTCTCAGAATAAACATACCTTTTTTCCGGACGGATTCGGATTTTTAACCCGCAAATAGGAGGGAACAGCAATCTGGGAAATATGGTCCCAATAGTTTGGTCAGGAGAGCGATTCAAATGTTGATTTTACTTTTTGCGTATTACGCCATATCTCGAGAACTTTCTTAAGCGAATTGAAAAATTTTTGCACAGAATTAACATCATTTTAAAGTATGTAATTTTACGGGGCAAAATACAAAATTTGAGTGAAATTGGATGAATAGTTCCTGAGAAATCGAATTTTAAGAAAGTCATATATTTAAAATTTGAATTCTAATGTACTATTCAACCAGTTTCGCTCAAATTTCGTATTTTTCCATGTAAAATTACATACTTTAAAACGACGTAAAAAATTATATACCTTGCAATTTAAAATTTCATTGACTATTATTAAATAAAATAATAAAAAATAAATAATACTGACTGAAATGTATTTTTTTGTATGGAATTATCTTATAGATCTACGAATTTTATAATTGTGTACAAATATTTTTTTAATTCGCTTACAAAGTTCTCGAGATATGGTGAAATACACAAGAAGTAAAATTAACATTAAAGGGTCCAAAATTTTGACCAAATTACTGGGACTATATTTCCATAATTAGCTGACCGGACTGTGTAGGGGTCAGAGAACTGGCCTTGCATCAGAAATGTTCTGGGTTCGAATCCCGGGCAAGGTATGGATGTTCTTTCATTCTCTGTACTATCTGTCCTTACTGTGGGAGCAACGTTGGTCCACCTAATATGGTGTCTCTGATAGAGTAGCCAACAAATCTACTCCGTAAATGCTTGAATTGACGAAATGTTAGCACTGGTTGACATTGGAAAAAAATATTTCCATGGTTACGGCTACTCCTTGTACTTTGAAGGTCAGAAATCCGAATCCGTCTGAGAAAAAGGGTATGTTTATTCAGAAAAAGTTCGCGTATTTGTGTCTGATTTCATAATTTAAAATATCGTCTGCATTAATTTTTTAGCATCTTTGAGATCTCTCCCTCAAACCATAGAGATTGAGTCCAAGAACATGCAGATTCGATCATTAGATCAAAAGTTATTTACGATGGTCGATCATTAGATCAAAAGTTATTTACCGTTTTTTACTTTGCGCACTGTACATAAATAGAAAGAAAATCCTATTGCAACGATTAACACAATTATGAAAGGTAACAGTTATATAATCGTATAACAATAAAAAAAAGAAATTGAAGATTTTTTTGTGAGATTACGAAATAGAATTTTAAAAAAAAATAAACAAAGGGCTAAAAATTAACTAGCTGTAGATCGTACAATTACATAAAATTAAGGTAGATAAATATAATTTTGTAGCTAACTCTAGACAATAATAAATTTAATAATTGGAGGCACTATTTTAAGTACCAGAGCTCCTTTTTTTACTTAGGGGAAAAATTATATTAAAATCAAAAACCCTGTTTTCACTTTATCGTTAATTGAAATTTTTACTGAGCTCTTGGTCAATATCTTTATCACTTGTTCATGAAACAGACATTCAAGTTATTAGTTTAAAAACATGAAGGAGACCTCACTTTATTGCATTGGCCTAAACAATCTCCAGATCTTAATACTATTAGGAATTTATGGGATAAAGTTGAAAAAAACCATCCAACATCTAGATCATCAACCATTCAGTCTCGCGCGATTGGAAAGTAGGTACTATTCTTATATAGTCTCAGATGCCACAAACGACCAATCGACAATTAGTGGAGCCCATGCCAAGCAGTATTACGGTTTCACTTGTGACCAAATAAGGTGACCAAATGAGATATTAATTTAATGCTCGTAATAAAGCAGTTGCATAGTACATATATCTAAAGCAGTTGTTTTTTAATTGAATGTATTTACTTCAACTCGTTTCTGATTTATATACATTTAAGTACTATTTAATTACTAGGTGGTAAGTACCATTTCCTTAAAATGAATCGAAGAGATATAATGAATACAGATAACAGAATCGATAAAAATATCTAGCTCAATATCCTTAATTTCCCATTATTGATTGCTTTTCTTCTACATTTGATACAAATTCATTTCTTTAAGTCACACATAAAAACTAAGGAGAAAAAAAAAAAAAACTGTAATTGCCTGTCACCATTGCAAAACGATCACATTCTCATTTTCGCTTAATTCAATAAGATTTGTTTTACAAATACTAGAGTATATTGATGTCGTCAGAAACGCTTTTTTTTCTTCCCCTTTTGCTCGGTTGAATATACATTACACAGAGAAGATAATCGAATGTTCGTTATACTAACAAGTACTTCATTTAATTGGATGCAACCAGGCAAAATATATTTAAAAAAAATTTCGTTCTTACTTCGAGCTGCTAACAGTGTGTCATTATTGATGGTAAAAGGATGAATTCAGTTTTTTTTAGAGTGATGTGATTCGGTATTGTGTGTTTTGCACATTTGAAGCAAATTTTACTCAGCCTGTAATTGCAATTAAAAATTAACTTTTTTAAAAATTTTTTAAAGCCAAGACATTTATATGTTTCGGAGGTGAAAAAATAATGAAAGGTGCTTCAATATAAAAGTAAATAACAATGATCTCGAGCTTTTGACCTGCTCTACTTCCATTTAGAAAGTATACAGCTGCTTACTACAGCTTATTCTGCGAGGCAATATCTTCAAACAGATCATTTTGCTTTTAATAAAAGAAATAAATTACATAATTTTTGAGCTATAATTCGCTGTATTTTATAAGATATTAATGATAATTAAGTAATTCTGGTGAGTTTTAAGTGAAAATTTATTGCAGTTATTTATAGACGTATTGTTAGAAAATATGACATGGTTGCTAGATTTAGAAAGAACTCGCTTTTTTGGCAGTTCCGATTTGGCCTCTTTTTACTTGTTTATTACTGTTGCAAGCCGTGCACCATCTTACGTTAGTGTTAGCATATTGTTCGAGAAACGAGATTAAGTTCATTTCACAAATTATCATTTAGGTTTAAATTTCGAAATTGGTATATTGTTGACAATGCAAAAATTGTTTTATAACGATTATTTTTTACAAATGACGATTCTTACGTTTCGAAATGACAGGTTCTTCAAATGACGATTCTTATAAGGATTCTTTTCTAAATACAAATAATAAATCAGGTAACAAATACACGTAATGCAAGAAATACTACTACAGAAAGTTTCAAAGCACAATGATCACGTTGTGAGTCAAAAAGCTTCAAAATACACCGGAAACAGTAACCCGGAAGTGGTTCAGACACTGGTTCAAATTCATAAAAAAGCATTAGCAGTGAATGTTTATCTATCTCTAAGCTACAAGAATTCGATATTACTTTAGCCCCCGGGATCTTTAATTTTTCAATGATAAAAACTTAACTAAAATCATAAATTTATGCAATTTAAAAAAAAAAGACTTCTGTCCAGGTAAAAACATTTTAATGTTATGAAAAACGTTATTCTATGTTGTAGGAAATTACTTGTTATCTAATTGGATTAGCATATAAAACAAGAATTATTAAATTTTGATCTTGAACTGTAGTTAGAATGAATGAGGGCAAAATTAGAGCAAATATGTTCAAAAAGCACTTTTTTTCGGAACTAATAGAAACGGTTGGAGAATTTGAAGAAATAAGAAGATTAATTACTTCACTAACTTAATGATAATAAAAAGTAATTTTTAGGTAACGCTATTCATTGGAAAAAATACTGCAAAAGAATTTCTGGAGCTTCAAATTCCGACATTCTAAAAGCAAATTACAGACGAACCGCTTGTTCAATAGGGCAAATTCAGGGAGCTGAATGTTGTAAAATTCTTCGAACATTTTATTTCTTTCACACTCTAAAATTGATCTTGATAAGGTTAAATGGAGGTATCCCCGCTTATATAAAAATATCCCTCCATGTTTCTGTTCAAGAGGGAACAATGCCGTATTCCCTCTTAACCCTTCACAATGAATACTTCAAAACATAGTTTGCACATGCATACTACCGAATTTAAACATGCAATGCTTCATGTCAGTAAATCCTGGTTCATACACGTTATACGAAACATGGATTAGTCGTTATATGAAACATGGGTTAATTAGTACAGGTTATAGTGTGTTTGACTGTATGGCATCAAGACTAAGGTTTATTTATCTATTGCAGCAACATAACATTGAAATGGACTACTAATTAATTCTGCATTTTGTGACGTAGCTAAGTTAACTGTTAACCGGGCATAAAGCAAAAACGTATATTTTTTCCTCATAAGGATAAGGCCTCATATCTTTGTTACGAATATAAACAAAAACCGGTTCTGAAACATGCAGAAAGGTTTTCTCTTTCTCAAACATACACACAAGGCAGAACTGATTACGCAATAGATCCAATTGGACATATTTCCTTACTTATGAGGCAAATATAAACAGTCAAAACGAAACAATTAAGAGGCTTGGCCCCATTCGCGTTGAATTCTCGCCGTGCATTTGACAGATTACCGTCATTCTGATAAAACACTTTTACTAGAAGCGCTTGTTCATTCTTCCTCAATGTCATAGAGGATAAAGATTATTAGGGCAATAACCTTTTGGCTTTTTGTAGCGATTTGCATAGATGCTTTTTGCACGTAAAAACGCCGTCTGTGGGACAAAATTTGAATTATTTTTACTGCAGATATCCATTTCTATGATACCTATAATTATACGAATGTACGTATGAACCAAGTATATATGTACCAAGTTTCATCTACATCCGTTGACCAGAACAGATTCTAAGTGGGTGTAACTTCAATTATAGCTACCAGCATCAGACCTTGTACTTTCGATTTCATCACAACAACAGATATATACTTTCGATATAACAGATATACTTTTGTATATTATAGATGAACTCTCTTTGTATATTATAGATATACTCACCGTGTACATCAAGATGCACCCAGGTGCCATTCTTGGGGGAATCTGGAGGTCTATTAAGGAAGTACACTTTGCACTCGTACCAGCCCTGGTCACTCTCATGCACATTGGTGAGGTTGAGCGAGGCTTGGTGGGCAAGTGACACTCTACCCTCGTAGCCATCTCCGGCATGTGGAGGATAGCCATCGTACCAGATGTAGATGGGAATTTTGATGCCTTGCTTCTGCCACTGGATAACATACGGCACCGGTTTGTTTTCGGGGAACTCGAAGGCACAACGTAAGATCACGTCCTCCCCGATCGTGGCAGTGAAGTGTTCTGGATCATCCTGAACGTAACCTGAAGCAAAAAGAATTAAATAACTTTTTGAAATTTAATTGGTATTCACTAAATAATTAGTAAATTTCACAAACTGTACTGTATTTCTAAATTTCATTATTAGTGTTAATAATTATGTATCCATACGATTTGATTGAACGGGTAATAAAACATAATAAAAAATAGATAAATAAATAAATAAATAAATAACAGTTAAATCATAAAAAAACCAGACAAACAGAAAATTGGACCAAATTTAACTGCAAGAGGAAAATTGTTTTAATATGATTTATGAAAGAAAAATGTAATTGTATATTGAAAAGAATCAAAAATCAAATCACCAGATGATTAAGGACGACCTACCAATTTATCCAGATGATTTCAAAGCAATAAATAAATAAAAAATGAAAAATTTTTGGAATTTTATAAAAGTGCGATTCGAAGTTAGAACAAATATTGTTATATAATCCTATCCATCAACATTTCAAGAGATGAGGGAAACTTACAGCATATTTTTTTGACATTATTGAATAAAATATATTTGTGCGACGTATTATTAATGTTAAGATCATATACCTCGATATTGATGTACCACATAATTTTTGTCATTAAATAAACATGTTCAGATAAATAAATACTTGCTTTAATTTTTACTTTATAACCATTGAAATATTCTAATTGTAAGTTTTGGACATTATTTATTAAAATTTATATTTTGTGCTTGTTAATAAGTTATTTTTGTGTTTATCTTTATCTTCTTTATTAAGTTTCTACATAAAAAGTCGTGTAAAAACAGCGTCATTTTCATGTATAATTTTTTTTAAATAACGAAATTGGGTTGTATTTTGTGCAGAAAGAAAAGCAGAAGAAAAATAGAAAATATATTCTTAATTAATTGAAAATAATTTTTTTTATAATGTTAGAAAATACTTGTATAATTTTCAGGAAAAAATCGATTTAAACTGGTAGTAGACAAAAAAAAAATGAATGCGTATCTCAGTAAAAGTCTTAAATATGTTAAAAGGGAAATTTAAAACAAGCAGAACGTTTCAAATATATGCAATTTTTATTCTAATCAAAGGCAGTATAATTCTCGTCTTTTTATTCTTCTCATTAGAAATGCTTTTGCAGTACTAATTTATTCAAATTCTTTTCAGGATTTAATCGCCTGAAAGAAAATGGAACACTTTTCCTCCGAAATAAACGTTCCATAAAGCACTGCATCATTCATTAATAATTCAATACAAAATGAGACAAGCAAAGAAAAAACAACACAAATTCCACTTTGACCTGTGATGCAACAACACGAGAAAGCTTTTTTCTTCCAACCATCCTTTCCACGCTTGGCCACGATTTCCTTGCAAAGGCAAGAGAAGATGATTCGGAACGAGAAATGGAACGAATAGGAAAGGAAGAGAAAAAGGCTCCAAAAAGAGATGCTGCTTTTCTATTGATCTGCATCAAGATACGATGGACAGAAACGAAATGAGGGAACGAATGGAGAACTGGTCACTAGCACATCCACCCCCACCAAGAGCCTGCTCTCCCTTTAAGGGGGAATCTCTTCTTTTTTATCTCTCCTTTTCGTTCGATTCTTCTCTCAAGAGAACTCAGAAAGGATGGTCACAAAATAGAGAAGGACGAAAATGTTGTTGGTCGAATGGTTAGATTGGGTGAGAAAAGCCAGAAGAGGAAAAAAGAATAAAAGTAGGGGTATAGCTTTGGGCTCTTGAATTAAGGGATTTAGAATGGCACATAGTGGACGCTCCATGGGATTGAGTTGTAAGGAATCGGGGAGTGGGGTCAGGACCAGTGGTAAGGTTGAGGGGCGTATCACTGAAGAGAAGTTATTATAGTAGCGGGACAAAGGGGTGATGTGATGACCTGGGAAAGATTCGAAAATTTGCTACCTGGTGCAGAAGAGCACTCATTCTATTTTTATTTACAGTACCGGTAGGTAAAGATAAACTGAGAAAAGGTCTAGTGGAGGGGGGATTCGAATTTATGTTTTTCTTATCGAATTATTTGGTTTAGGAAAATATAGAATACTTGTGTTTTCGACTAGACCTGAAAGCATTCGTTTGGGAATTTTTACCAGACGATTTGAAGAATTACATTTTTATTAGGTCGTTGAAGCATAAAACAATTATTTTATGATTACATCAATAGTTAATTTAGCTAAATGGCGTGGCTAGAAGCTAAATTTAAAGTAATTGAATCATTTCGTGGGCTTTGCTTAAATAATTTATAAGTGGAGAATTTATTAGATCAAAAATAAAATATATTTTTATGAATTTGCTTTATTCAATGTATATTTTATAAATGTGTTTCATGTCATTTTTCCCAGTGGGCTAAACTAGCTTCCTGCTCTTGATGAATTTACATAATTGTACCGAAATAATATATGCTACGCATTCTAGATGCATAAAAATCAGATGAAAATGATGACCAGTCCGAACACTATCTTTGGACCGATAAATCACTTGGTATGATTCAGTTTCTTCACATGACAATCAAGATTTCTTTCATTATAATCAGCACAAATTTAATAAACGATGCAACGATATTGTTTACCTGTAACATATTTCTGTACCCCTAATTTAAAGTTATTTACCTGCAATATTTATTTATCATCATGTCATATTACGCTTTTGATTTTGATTATTATTTTTGAAACCCAAATTGAATTTGTAAAACCCAAATTGGTGTTTCTTTATTATAAAGTATTCATATAATAGCCTCCTATAGAGTAAACTTTTTTTTGTTGATAAATATATTTAAATATATTCATAAACTTATTAACCGTTTCACAATAGTCAAACAGTAAATAAGCTATATTTACTTTCATTGCATGTTTTGCGTAGAAGTGTGCTTAGTCAACGTACGCAATTAACATAATGAAATCAAAATTGTAAAAGCAATATTAGGAATTAACTTTTCGCGTTACTAAATTATGTCATGGGTGAAAATATGTGATGACCAAAAAGAAATCCTAACACGTGATTGAATATAAAGTATACTCTTTCAAAGGTAGCACATTTTTTGTTACAGCAATGACTTTTTGAAGATTCTAAGTAATGTTCTTCTCAAAACCACAATTCCTTAAAAGGATTCTACAGAAAATCGAACACTGTTCACTTTCATTAAGGAAAAGTTTAAAAAAAATCCGGAGAAATTTCCCGGTACAGAGTTTATGAAGCCCTCTCTAAACTGTTCTGACGATGTCGTTCGAAAACAAACTGAAACGTTTAATCGGTTTTCATCTTAAGGAGAAGAATAGAGATATTTTTTCCTTATCTTTTTGTTATAAATAAACGATTTTGCATAGAATTCTTATGTTTAAACTTTTCATTTTAATTCAAAATGATTTATAACCCTGCACCGACAGTAATTTTTGTCACTTTTTCATCAAAATAAAAGTCCATATAAAATATACATATAGAATTGAGAATTTGATTGGTGCATTTAAAGTAGAACGATATCAAATCACATTCAGTAGGAATGTTTCCTAAGTTTTTAAAAATTCTGAATTATATTTCATCATTCTTTAATATTTCAACTTTTCGTTGTGGTTTAATTTTCTTTTATTGTGGTTTGATTTTATGAATGAAATATTTAGAATATTGATAAAAGAGTTGTTATTAAATAAAGAATAATTAAGCATTAAGAAGTCGTCAACCAACAAACGACATACTTTACAAAACACTTCATTTAGGGAGAGCTTTAAAAGCTCCATGTCGTAGAACAAATCCAGTGAAAAAAACAAACATTGTTAATAGAACATAAAATTTTAAATGAAACATGAAAATGTTTCATTAAACAAAATCAAATTGTTTTCCTGCTTTACTTCCTGAAAAGAGGAAAATATTACACATTTTATAAGGAATTTAAACCGGGCACTCAGCAATTCCGGGCTGTGGTATTAATTATCCCTGTCCCTTAATTGAAATGACCTTGAAACTCATTGCAGGCTATATAGAATCCCTCAACTCCAAATCGTCTATAAGTAATTCAATTTGACGTATATATAATTTTTAAATTTTCTCCAAAAAATACATTCTACAAATGAAATTTTTCTGAAAAAGAACCAGCAGATCCCTGATAGAAATCAACACTTCAATTTTTAGAGACATTTAAAGGTATTGCATGTGAACAAAAAGAAATGAAAACATAAGATTGATTGGGTGAATTGTATACTTTCAAATGAAACACATTCCTTGTTACAGCAAAGGGCTCTTTCCGGATTCTAAGTAATGTCCTTCTCCAAAGCCACTACTCCTTAAAGGAATTCTACAGAAAATCGAACATTGTACACTTCCATCAAGTGAAAGTTGGAAGAAAAAAAATATCCTCCAAAGTAGTGATATGAAACAACTTAAAATTGTTTTCCTACTTTACTTCCGGAAAGGGGAAAAATTGTCTCGGGAGCTTCGAACCGAGAATGCAATATCCTGAAAAGAGAACAGGAAAATGGCTAAAAAAAGAAAAACGTTTCTTCGGTTAAATAGAGAAAAAAAAGCGGCAAGTTAAGGGGCCAATATACACTCCAGTAACACGGAGGAAGACACTCACCCAATAACAAGGTCTTTCTAGAAGGGAAGAAGAGGAAAAAATCATTTTAAACGTTATTGATGAGGTCATAGAATGGACCTGTCCAAGTACTGAGCTGTTGATGATAATCTGGGTCAAGAAAAAGAGTGGACTAAATCTTTTCACGAAGAATACCGATTTACTTTGGATCTTTGTACTTGAATATTCTATCATTTAAAGTGTGGCTATAAAAACAGGTATGATAAATAGTTACAAAATTTATAAATTCAGTGCAAACGAGTTTATATTCTGTAGAATGTGATTTAATATTGAACAAAGTTTTTCAACGCTGTGAACATTTCTAGGAAAAAAGACTAGAAAAAATTATGTTAATTTAAAAATTTAAGGGTCAAAAATATTCTATAATGCATGCTTTATAAGATGTTAAATAATAATTATATAGCACAGTTTTCCATACAAAAAAACAAGTT